GCAAGCTCTCGGACAAGCACTGAGCATGCAGTGCTTATTAATATACGTTGGGTACGGGCAAATCGTTATATATAATCATCTGTTTCACAACCACGAAACCCTTTTGTACCCTGTATGATCGCCACTGCAATTTGTCGCTGGCAATCTACATCCTTAAACTTTGTGCACTGAGGTACAGGAAATTGAATATTCATGCTTGTTGTGCTTGGTATGATCTCATGACAACATCAAAACATCAAAAATGTTTGCGCAGTTGCTTGCACTACGTTGTGTGCCTTAAATCTATTTTGTGCCGTAATTGCCCTTAAGCTAACTGAGCGCTTTCTTCTGGAGTTATTTCTGGATAAATAGCCCGGTTGTGTACAAGATTTTGTGTTTTGTTTGAATCATTTTTATTATGGCATTTGTACAAAAGCCTGCTTTATGAGATTTCATGATCACTCCATGTGATAGGATAACACATTTTTTTTTACTTGTGAACTGTAAAGCCTTCCAGTAAAAGTCAACATTTTGTTGGCCAGTCTTGGAAACTGGTGTTTTGGAGGGAGGAGAATAAAATTACGAACTTTGCATGGATAATGGAACAATGTATCAAAATTTAAAAAGTTTATTTACGATGGCAAAAGTAGGTCTAATATCAGGGATTTTTATCGCTCTATTTCCTGGTCACAACAATAATTTCTATTTAATTGCAAGCAAAAAACTACAAGTATTACTAAAATATTACTGACCCCACTTGCCCGGCTCAGATGCAGGCAGTAGTCAGGCATTTTCGGAATGTTTTCTATTATTCGTCTAACTCGGCTGCGACCATCACTGAACACTCTGACGTGCCAGAGTTGCAACCCCTTCTGTGTCCTTCCGCTATGCTCCAATTGCTAAAAGTGGCCCCTCCCACCAATAAAACGCATCGATCACAGATCAAAAGGCAAAAAATGTACGCTGAGTTCAAGTTGAAAGGTATGTTTTGCCCCCATGGGGGTGCTGTTCTAACAGGGAACACAACATATTCAATTTTGAGGGGAGATCGTTTTTCAATACAACAGAAGTGATGCCAGCAAACGTGATCTTCAGCGTTACTAAATTGATTTTATGTAACCGAATCGGGAGGACAAGCCCAATCATTACTGCTTGATTTGCACTATCAAGACACCACAATATCGTTTTTAAAGGTATTCTAAAACTGCTTTGACTGTATATCTATAAACGCCAGAGATCAGCCCAAATAAATGTAAATCATGCGATAAAACTTTGTCACAGTGTTTACCCAGTACACAGGCACAGGACTGGCAATGACACCACTTACATAATTTCCTGTAGTTTTTCACACTCTTGGTATTTCCTTCCGTGACAAACACAGCGCTCAGTGGGACCACCTTTCATCTGCAGTTGACGTACCATAGATACCTCAAAATTTACTTACGTCCGTGCACATTCCATCTCCCTAGACGATGCATAACCGTTACGCCTATTCGTTTACATTTAAAGATCTTTCATAGATTTGTTCGTTCATTCATTATGGGATTTAGTTATTATGCATTTCCTTTGAAGTTGGCTTAAGAGCAATTCAGTAAACCCAATTTGAAGATTTTAAAAAAGTGGTATGCTTTGAATAATGTATAATTATGGGCGGCTTTAACACATCGTCTAACCTTTGTATGGATTAAATGCCTTCCTTTAATGTGAAGGTCTGACGTGCAGGTCTAGGATACAGATAATACCGAAATCTTTTGGTTTGATGGTCCGCAGTATTTCTCTGTCTTGGAGCATTCCCTCCATTTAGGTATTTCAACAACATTATTCAAGCCACGCTGGCCGCGCTTGACTGACGTCATCGCAGGGGGCTCACCCTCAACGGCAGCTGCCTATGAAGCTGAGGAATTACTTTCCTGTGACGTTGAACGGAGGCGCAGAAGACCTATGGAATCCCGGGAGTTCCCGGATGTCAAAAGGAAGGATTTTACTATTAAAAGCCAATTTGAAAAGTTCGAAAGTTTCTGATTAGACCGCCAGGAGTCAAAAAGGTCAGATGCGATCTGTTGCTTGTACTTGATTGAATACAAGTTGTACCCACGGCGTTGAACTTGTCAAACTTTGATCAACTTGCATTCTGACTTTCTTGATTCTGTTGGGTGGATTCCAAAAAGGCTGATTCATGGATTCAGCTGTGCAAAGCGACATCTGAAAAAGGAAGCTATAAAAAGAACGCCACAAAGGTAAAAGATTAGTAGAAATCAGCGCAAAATTATTTTACAAATTTTCCTCATTTTTTATGAAAACATTGGCTGTCTATTTTTAAAAAAGGAAGTGTTAATGATTCCCGGTCAAGTACAAAATCTGCTATATAAAAAGCAAATGCGAAAATAAAGCAAAAACTACAAAAGAAATACATTTTGATGAAATGGCCGGTATATTCAATCTTAGAAACACTCACCTGGGGCGGATCCAGGATTTCCAAGGGGGCATAAAATAGGGAGGTTGGGTAACCCAAAGCAGAACTAGTTAGGTTTTTATGCCTTTGTACATTTACAGGTCTGGGTCCCTCCCTCTGTTTTCTTCCCCCGCCCTCTTTTTTTCTTTTTATTTATTTATATATTTACCTATATTTGGTGAAACGGAGGGGGGGCCTACGCCCCCACGCCTCCCCCGTGGATCCGCCCCTGCTAACTACGTGATTTTACAGAAACTAAACAAAGCGAAGGCAACAATTCTTTCAGTGCTTTAGGAACGGGTGAGATGACTCAACAACCCATTCCCCACTGGTTATAAAAGGGGAGCTTTAATATATCCCCATCCTCCCGGGATTTACGCCCATGACACTGCGCCTCAGCTGTGTGCAAATATTTTTTTCAGTTGTTGACAAACTCAAATGTTGGATAAAGCTTAAACTTGTCGATACAGGTCACAATCCGCAGGTCCCACATGCAACAAACAGGAAATTAAGTCAAAACAGCTAAGATTTGGGCCGCGTTTACAAAACTGTTGCCACATTAAGATTCCCTGGCTTTCACATGAAAATTGATACCAGATTTCTTCAGCTCATTATGATATACAACAAAAAGAAACCATGAAACGTAATGTTATGTTGTAAATATCGCCAAATATATTTCTGTATAATGTCTATACACACGATAGGGGTAAAACTACCACCAATAATGAAATAGAATACTAAATAGAAATATGAACATCTGCTAAAGTTCAGAACCACCACGCATATAGGAATCACACAACACAATCAATCCATATTTTACATCTTTTAAGTCTGATACATAACAAATTATTACTTTACATGAACATCATTTGTAACATAAGGAACAAAATTTCAGCTGTTGGTTTGAGGCCTTATACAAAGACAGTCGAGGGCGCTTCCATGATATATAGTTATATATATATATATATATATATATATATATATATTAACGACAGAGAGAGCTTGGAGTGACGCCAGACCGTAAGCTGTTTCTGTGATTTCCCGCCCATTATAACTGATTATCCACCGCAACAAACTAAGCAGAAGTTGTCTTCCACATGAAAACTTGTTTAAAGCCTGGCTACGGTTGTTTTCAGTGTTTGATTTAGACAATGTCTGCAAACAATACTGACATAAACGTAGAATAAGGCCTAGGCTATAACACCGTGCTTTAGATCTACGGGGTAAGGCGCGCTACCGTGTTCCAAATGGCAATGGTACACTGGTACGGCATTGCTCTATTGCGTTCGGCGTTCAGCGCAACTGTCGCGCTTTTGACATACTCTTGCCAAACTCATTTTGATCAAGTTCGGCACGACAGTACAGCGACGAGCTAGACCCAAAGAGGGCGCTACTTTCTTGGCAACAGAGACTCCCGTGATCGGAACTGAGCTTCGCTGGGTTAACGAACGACTAGGAAATGCACGCGTCACGGTTCGCTAGTAACCAGCGCCCTGTTCGGACGCTGGGAAGAGTGGATGGCCTTGCAAAAAATTTTAGTGAAGCGAATACGTCACACGGGGTCACAGCTAGCATTGCAGGTAACTTTCTGCCAGGAGTGCCAGCGAAGTTTTGCGATTCGGTTATCAATTCGACAATCGGTTATTAATTCGGTATTTTTTTCTTTTTCTTCCTCATATTTCTTCCCCAATATGATTGTTAAGTAACAATCACTTACCTCTCCCATGAGTAAGTTAACGTTTCTGAATTACGGCAGCTCAAAGAAACATTTGTAGCAACATTTGAAAAGTCTACAGCTTAATTGGCAGTTAATAAAAAAAAATTGTCCTTACATGTTAACTACTGACGTCATTGTACCCATCCTTTCCTAACACCCTGTTACAATCAAACTAGTGCAGTTTTCTATCAAACGGTGAAAACGTGCAAACTAGAATTTCTCTTTCGTAAACATTTGCACTGTACATGTACGTTCACGTGTACATACACGCGTTTATATTCGCGGATAATTCTGTATAAGGTTACCGGGACTACACCAAAGGTCTAAAAAACAAAGCACACAGGTATAAAGTTACCTTTGAAGAACATGCCAGGTCTAAATTATCTAATTAAAGTACAGAAAATAATTTATATCTAAATAATTCCTAATGTTCATTGTTTGGGTACCTGTAGTTTCTACACTGGGCAGCACTAAAGCAAGAAAATAGAACTCGAGTGGCCGACAGAAATAAAGCTGCAAAATAATAAAAACTTAAATATCTGTGCAAGTTTTACTCTCACAGATATTTCAAGTCATTTGAAGTGTTCTCAAAGTTTGATTCAGAAAGGAAAAAACACAGGCGCACTGTTCAGCAAGGACGTAAAGTCATCGCTTATATCTTAACCCCTACATCTCTTTCACTAACATGTTGGCTGAGATCACGTTGAAATTACTTCAACTTATCACAGATGAAGAATAAAAGTTAATTTGTATGATATCATTCGTAGGTTTCTAGTCGAAAAAGTCAACAGGTGCATGTACATTGTATCTTTCACGTGATTTTGACATCAATGACATTCAGCTTTTTTTCTGGACAAGTCACAAAACCATTAGCTACCGCAAAGTACTTTTATATCATATTTCCAATTACAGAGCAAACGTGGAGCCAAATAATCGTTTAGAAAACTATACTTATATGTGTACGTTTACTTTTATATGTATCGCTGCTCTCAATGCCCCCAAAAATCTCTGATTCAAAAACAAACCTCTAAAAATCACGTCTGCAGATGTCCAATTTACAGACTTGAGAACAGAAGTATTGCAATTGAGTATCCCAATGGAAAGTGGCCTTTCTTGCATGAATAACACTTGAAATCTACATGTTACTTCAAATCTCTAATGATGAATGCATCTGTGTGTGTGCTGTTTTTCTCATGTTTACACTATCAAACTTTGGTCGATAAAACATCACATTTCGCATGAAGCAAAGTTCATAGATTTTTTACTTTTATAATTTCTGTCAAACTTCTGTTACTTTTATTAAAACTAAATTTGTTTCAATCAAAGTTCTTAATATGTGTACATGTATTAACCAATACTTTCGATACAAAAAATACACATTTTATTGTACAAAACACAATTTGATTGTGTTCATATGAAGAATTTCATTTAAGCAGAACTTTCTAGTACAGTATATTGGACACCTTTTTCAATAAAACTGTCTTAACCCATTTCCTTCACATTAAGCTGCAAAGTCCTGTCTACTCACACTTATTAACTCTGCACTCTACATGTATCTTCATAAAAACCATTCCAACCCTTAAAGCAATGAGATTACGTTCGGTGCAAGACCTTTTCTTCATGTAAAAAAGTGTAAAACTTAACCATCATGCCTTAGCTTGACACTTACTGGATAATAAAGACTAATTTTTTAGCTGTACAGACACCCGAAATTCGGTAGACTATTTTCAGTTACATGTATTTTACCATTTTTTTTCTTGAGAAACTGTTTATCATGTTTTTTCTCGAATAAAAAATATTCAAACTTTTATTTCACACTAGTTCACTTTGCTCACGAATTAGTCATGAGGTGTTTCATAATATACATGTAGGAAACTTGTGGTTGCTGCTATTGATGCTACTGACAATAGAAATCATTTACAGCCCTATTACGACCATGGCGTCCTGGAGTTCCTTGTTTACCTTCCATTTCACACCCACGTGCTCCTTAATTGTATCTGGTTCTCCTGTTGTAGCTAACACTTGTTTCCATTTGAAAGTGCTGGAAAAGGTGATAAAATTAAATCACTTGTGTGCATGTGATATGTGTACAAAGCTGTGATCAAAAGTTAATGTACATGTACACTTGGACTACAAGTATTTTCTTGTAAATTTTAAGAATGTACAGTACCTATTCTGGGCAAACAACCTTTTCTGTAGCACTGCTGATAACAACACATGTACATGTACGTGTTCGTGTGTATTTGCATTTATATAAAGAAGGTAAATAAAGTACTTTATTAATCTGCAAATAAATGTACTGGGTACATTTAAATACATGCATTAAGTTCAAGCCTTAGACTTAACAGGTTGTAATTAATCAATTTCAATCGAAAAACTTGTGTCATATATTATTCAAATGCAATAAAATAAGAAATCATACAGCAACATTCATTCACAGGAAAATCTATGCTACTGATGAAATTCCCAATTCTAACATATCCCCAAAATACTGTTGGTTCAGATGTTACCATACTCGTAAAAATCAAACATTGATTCTAGATAGAATTCATAACATGCCATGGCGTGAAATGTTACCTTTCATGTTGAGGTGGAGTTAAGTTGATCTATATCGCCACCTTCACTAGCACTGTCTGTCTTGTCAGATGATCCTGCTGGGCTAGAAGGTTGATGGCTATCATCGATGACAAGATCTCCTTGCTCAACATCAGACATCTCATGACCAATCTGCTCCTCTTTAGGAAGGGACAGCTTTCCCTCCCTCTCCAAGGTCATCCGATGACCTCTTGACCTCAGGTGCTTTGCTAGATGACCTGGAATCCTGAATGCGATTTGGCATTCCTTGCACTTGAAAGGACGGGGGTCACTCTCAGTGGATGTGGAAGGCAGCTCCACAGCATCTACTTTGGATAGATGCTCTTCTGACCTTTCATGCTTGGCTAGCAGAATCCTTGTGGGGAAAGACAGCATGCATTCTGGGCATGAGAAAGCATTTTCTTCAAGATGGATCCGCATATGAATTCTTAGTTGGCTTGGCTTCATAAATATTTTGCTGCAGCTGGAGCACTTGTGGTTTCCAATATGCGTTGGAGAAGAGACAAGTTCTTCAGCTACCTCTACTGGGATCTGATTCACACTTGGTGACCTATCACAATGCATCTGGGACTGCGGAGGCACAACTTGAAACTGTGACTTGGCTCGTGCAACAGGAGGAACAAATGGCCCAGGGGATTCTTGATGTTCATCTCTTGGAGAGAAACTTGATTGCACGGTTGGAGATCTCACCTGAGACAAAATTGTTGGAGGCAGCTGCATCATTTTTGAAGGGACAATAGGTGAGACTAATGGTGGTTGAAGAGAGCTACTCAATAAGTTGGAGTTGCTCTTTGAGAGTTTTGGAGATGCCAAAGATGGAGGTAGAAAGGGTGAGAAGGGAAACTTGGTACTTTCTTGTGGTAGTGCGATCAGAGACGGTCGAGCTAACAGCAGTTGCTTGATGGCACTTCCTGGCTCTGACATCCAAGATGGCACAGATGATGAAGCATTCCCACATATAACATGACCAGACACCATGATTTTGTTCTGCTCAGTATCAAGTTTCTGTCGTTTCCTGGGGCTGTGTTCCTCTTCATCATCTGATACAGCTTCCACAAAGATCGGTGGTGGTATGCTGTGAGTCACTTCACTTGAGGAAGGGTATGGTGCAACTGAAATTGGATGACTTCTTGGTGAAAACAGTCGCTGTGTTTGAGATGTTGACTGAAGAACTGGTCTGCTGGAATTCAGACTTGGAGAGGCAATTGGCTGTGAGGGGTCTGGGAAAGCATGGAAAAACTGAGGTGACACTGTTCTTGGTAGATGAGGAAATAGGTCAAAGTTAGTTGGATAAGCTCTGGGGCTGGATCCTGCCACTAGTTGAGCGTCACTTGAGACTGCATAGTTTGGAAACACCTCTCTGTTTGAGATTCCATGCACTGGGCTCACACCAACAACTAAAGTGGATTGCCCGGGAGGAACTTTTGCTATTGGAGGAGGTTCTTGATGAGATGGAAACGTAAAAGCCCAGGGAACATTGGTGTCTGCTTGTGAGATGCTCACAGTTGGTATGCTGCTTGGAGTTCTTACAAAACTTGACACATGATCTTTCTGGGATAGTGTCCCTGAGGTAGATTCAGTGGATGCAGCAGGACTATGAAGCTGGGTTTGGATGAAGGTTGATCCTGATGTGAAATATTCTGCACTGTGATGACAAGGTGTTACATTAGCAGTAACCTGCTTATCTATGGTTGTAGAAAGCTGCACAGGGCTGGGCACCGACAAGTGGGTAGCTATGTCTCCACTGCTCGTTCCTCGCTTGTTTCTGGTAGCGAGATTATCCTGAATGGTGGTTGACAGACGATACTGACTGGCCGATGAATTGGACATAGTTAGCACTATGTGGCCATACTTGTCCAGAACAGGTGGTGCTGGAGGTTGCTTATCACTCTTGCTACCATGAGGCTGAATTATATTTGATGGATTCACCGATTGCGGTAGCAAGATACTGGTATGAATTGGTGGCAGTTGTGAAATGTCAAATACTGTACAACTGTCTTGGTCTTTGCTATCTTCAAACTTCCCTGTGGCAGCGGCACTGGCCTTCTGTGCCTTTTCAAGACTTTGCTGATGCCTGTTGGTGAGATGACGACTAAGTTTCCCAACAACTTCAGACCTGGAAAGCTTAACTGGCTGTTTTTCCTCATCCTTTGGTGCTGTTCCACTCTTTGGAGAATCAGAGGATGGAATTGAACTTAAAGAGTCTCTCCTAGTCCTTGTGTCTTGTGTCTCACTCTGCCCTTTCTTGGAATGTCCTGGGTGGTATTGATGCCATATCAAAGGTCGTCCTTGACTATCTATGCTGTCAGGCATATCCTGAATATTGGGTACTGAGCTGTAACGCTCCCTATGAGGGACTATTCCACTGACTGGGACAGCACTTTCAGAACGGGTCTCAGAGATATCATCATCATCCTCATCATCTTCCTCTTCATCAGTGGTGTCGCCATCAGCAGAATCTGTGTCTTCATCATCAGCATCTGAGAATTGATGTTCCATGCAAGATTCATCTGCTGTTGGGATCCCATTTTTGGTGCACTTCTTACTATGTGCTTTCGATTTCATATGTTTAGTCAGGTTTCCCTTTGTCTTAAAGGCAAAATTACAAATCTGGCATTGGTAGGGTCTCATATCTGTGTGCGTCCGGATGTGCTTCTTCAACATGCTTGGCTTTTTGCACCGAATCCCACATTCTTCACAGACATATTTACCACGACCACGACCCCGTACGTAGACATAATCTTCATTTGATTTGTAGCCTCCACTGAATATCTGAATGCGGTTTGGTTCACTGTGATCAGATATTTCCTTCACCTTTTTCTCTTTGGCTTTGAGTGCATCCAATTCAAGCATCGATTTATCAGCTGATCCTATATCTGATGGCTTAGATGCACAAACACTTACTGCCTGCCGTTGCTGGACTTCTGCTGTTGAACTGTCAACTGCTTTGGTAACTGTCTCTGGTTTCCATCCTGCTGACTCTGTTACAATACCACCCTGTGGTGGTGATATACTAGTAGTGACATAGTAAAATCGTGGCTTCTTGTTCCTACTCGTGTCGTATAGTGCAAGATGGGCCTTCCAGGAGATTCCAAGAGGGTTGGGACAGCTTCCTCCAGGTCTCCAGTTAGAATACATGGATATTTTCCGATTATTTCCTTGCTGTACATACATCGGCTGGGGACGCTTCACACAGCAGAATGTTGTCTTAGTGATTTTGAAGTTGCGTGCTGTGCTACGTGACAATTTTGAAAACTTCATTTTCTGTCTTAATGCTGAATTTGTCTTGACCTGTCTCAAGACCTGTTTGTCAAAGGAGCTCTGGCAATCAGGTTTCTGTGGTGGAACACGTTTGTAAGGAGTTGAAGCAACTGTGGACACAACTGCCTCATGACCCTGTGGTTGAGATGTTATTGATGAAGTTGCTAAAGGACTTCTGAGTGGTGAAACCAGTGTTGAAGAAGCGGTGCTGACAGCAGATGGGGAAAATAATGTATTTGGCCCTGGAAAGCCTGATGGAGGTTGAGATGAAGATGGCGAGGGAATGATGAAATACTGTGTTGAACCACTGCCTGAACCTGGTGTGGGAGTGGCAATGGGTCCAATCATCATTGTGCCTTGAGTAGATGTAATCAGACTCTCAACCTTTCCGCCTGCATTGTGAAAAGCATGTGCCATTAATCGTCCCAACTCACGTGCTGATTCCACAGGAGTAATGGGAGTATTTGCCTTCATTGGAGATGCCAGTTTCATCACTGACTCAGCAATTGAGAGCGCTTCAGGTGTGAGGAGACTCTTAGGATCAATCTGCAGAAGTGACTTTTGAGAATCTGCAGCTCCTGGGGATTTCATGCGTGATGTTAGAGGTGACTTTAGGTCAAGTTTCAGATGGTGTCTAGAGGCGGGAACCCGTGGTAATGTAGTAGGACTCTGCCTGCTGTTATCACTCCTCAGAGCTCTAGCATCACACCTAGGAGACTTAGGACTCGCTGAATTTCTTTCCACTTTAACTGTCTTTGGTGAAATGATTTCTCTCTGTTGCTTCATCTCTGGGAGTGATGGTACAGGTTGCACGAGTTGCTCCTGATTTGAAACACTGGTGCCCTCAACATCCCTTTGAAAAGCTGCGGGACTGCTATTGATTGGCTGATCTTGCTGAGTTTGGTCGATTACTTTGGATTCACTTGTTGCCTTGCTTGAGACAAAATCTCTTGGGCTGAGTCTTGGGGCATAAGAAGAGCTTTGAGCAACTGCTGCAAGTAGTTGCATTGCGATAGGGGCTGCATTCTCAGTTTCTTCACTGGGTTTCTGCTTGTCACACTGTCTTGAAGGATCATTTAGCAATGGAGATATCAACTGTTCATTTTTTTTGTCTGCCTGCATCCTCTCTGACAATGAAAAACATTGATTCTGACTGCCCACCAAGGGATAAGTAGGCAAATCTGGAGTCTTAGAAGCTACTGCCAACAGATGTAGACCCTGGCTGGCAGGTGAAGGAACTCCTGCACTCTGCGTTGACACAGGGTATCTGTAGGGCCATGAGTAGCCCGTAAAGGCATCATCTCTGGCTTGGCCTACTTCTAGTTTCAACTCCTTATTGGTTGGCTCACTTTTGCCCTGCATTCTGGTATGCTGGATAACAGACACCTCTGACAAGACTGGCTGGGATTGTGTGTAGACACTACTAACAGGACTTGGATGAACAGCAGTCTGATGTGGCAGGTGAGTTGGTGTTCCTTGCAATGAATATGTACACGTACTCTGAACAACAGAAGACATCATTTGCCCAGGCTGCGATGAAATAAGGCTTGATACTGATGTGAGAGGACCCACGTAGTGTTGCATTGGACTATGTGTCATCAAGTGACTTGAACTTGGTGACAGTACACTTGACACTGATGCTGTCTGACTTGACAGTGACAAGACACCTGATGCTGATGTCATGTGGCTCGGCACTGGTATCAAGGGAGTCCGCACTGTTGTTACTTGACTTTGTATTGGTGGAACATGACTCTGAATTGGTGTCATGTGATTCAGTACCAGGGCCATGTGACCAGGGGTATTGCCAGCTGTTTGGCTTGTGTGAACGGTTGAGTAACCAGAGTTTGGGGTCAAGGGTGTTGAATATGTAGTGAAGTGAGTTGATGGAGATGTAAGTGGATATGGCAGTGAAGAAACATGGCCAGGAAAGGAAGTAAAATGGCCAAGAGGACTGACAGGTTTCAAGCCTACACCTTTTTGAAGCTCAGTGAGAGTTCTAGATGGTGTAAGACTTGATGCCTGATGTTGAACACTGCTTGTAGCAAGAGGAGAAACCACAGAAGGAATGTCTTTAATCTTCCTGGCTCGTCTCTTTGGAGAGGAAGGCCCTGCCTGAATTCCATCACCAATGATGTCACTCTCAGATTTGTACTTCCTCCTTCGGCCAGTACCTCTCAATTCAGAGATCCTTTGGGATACATTTACATCCTCTGTTACATTACATGATGAATGACACATCAAATTATGAGCATGTGGTGTTGCTCTGTGCTGCTGCAGTGTGCCTCTCAGCTGATTCATCGCCGAGTCTCCATCTTGGGGTAACAACCAAGGAGATCCTGGGAAAAATCTCATGGTAGGGGACCCTTGTCCCGCTGGAGAATCATCTGGCATTTGTACAGGAGAGTGCTGAGCAATCTGTGCTAATCGATGTGGCCTGTCTTGCATCAAGAGATCTTTGATAGAGTTGCTGTTGTCCCTGGGATTTCCTGTATGCTGCATTGGTACATCAACTTTTGTTGCAGGCAAATCCCGTGTTGGAAGTTGTATTTCCTTGTTAGCCACAGAGGTTCCTTTCAAAGTGCTCTGCTGCTGGGACTTCAAGACACGCTCCAGAAGGTTTCCTTCACCAGGAAGGGGATACGCAATCATAGAACCATGGGATACAGAAGGCGAGTGCTGCGCTTCTGGCAAGGAGTTCCTCCTGTAACGCATTTGAGGGTTCACAACCTCATGGTAACCTGATGGGTTGACCCCTCTAACTTCTTGAGCACTTACATTATTTGTGGGTTCCACTGACATCTCTACCCTTGGTGAATTATTTTCACTGTCTCTGCGTGAAGCACTGGTACGTCGTGGCTTCACTGATTCAAGCACAGTGTTGTCCACAATCGCACGGTTCTGGGAAATCAAGAGCTGGATTCTCTCCTGGAGACTCTCTTTGGAAACACTCTTGGTGAAACTGGAACTACTGTTTGTGTCATCAGCTACTGAGCCCGACTCTCCATCTAGGCTCATCGTTAAGGAATCTTCAGGGATGCCTTGTACAGGAATCTGGACATGATACTGACCACCAGACTTCACGATATTGAACCCTGTGAGAGGGATAAGCAGTTGGCCAGAATTTGATGAAGCTTCATTGGCTGTAGGCATTGCTCCTGGTGTTCCAACCTGAGGATTCAAGACGGGAATGGCCCGTCTAGTTTCCATGTCAATGCGGAATCCAGCTAGCTCTCCAGGAAGTATAGACTTCAACAGCTGGCTTGAAGAGGCTCCAGATGCTGACATTACTACTTCTTCATCGTGTCGGCTTTCTGATGTGACATGCCTATCTTTCTGGCTAGAGTTGGACTTGGAGATTGTTACAGCAGATACCGAGGGTGCTGAAGAGGGTCTATCAACTAATTTGATATCAGTTGACTTTGGTGATTTTGTGGGGAGTAGTGTACTCAGTAATGGCATATCCATTTTGATATTACATGTATTTGTTGGTAGTACTGAAGTTTGGGTAGGGACCCAGCTGGAATGTCTTGAGACGGTTTCCTGGTTACTTTGGCTGTCTGCCTGCTGCTGGGGAATATTTGGTATTGCAACAAGGCTCCTAGGTACTTGTAACATGGGAATGTTAGATGGTTTAGTATTTCTCTCCTCTTGTGAGGCTTTTGATATTGGCTCTGTCTCCGAACGTGGTGTGGAGCCACCATGCGAAGGGGCAATACTCTCTGACAATTTTTCAGTTCGTTCCATTTGGCACGTTGTGGCATCACATGTTGTTATCTCATCTTCACTCTCTGTCTCTTCAGAGTCATCTTCATCTAGATCCGGCAAAGCTAGCTTTGCAAGATCCTCTGAGTTGGGTGTGAGTCCTGCCTTGATGGCATGTGCATGAGTCTTGCAGTGTTTGTAAAGATTGCTCTTAGTTTTAAATGAGAATCCACAAGGTGAACATGGGTAAGGACGTTCTCCAGTGTGAGAACGGATATGCTTTTTCAAAACACTTGGCTTTGTGCAACGACGTCCACAAAACTGACAGACATGTCGTCCAGGTTTTTTACAGCATTTTTGTGAGTCTTTGGCAGTGGGGTCTTCAGCTGAATCAGATGCATTACTTCTTGTGCTGTTCTTGCGTGGGCGATAGGCGCTGTAGCTCATTTGTTCCTGGTTTGTTTGTCCAATGGCAGGTGCTGTATACACAAGTTTCAAACCTTGCTCTTCCAGTGAGTCAGACAGCAGTTGGTATTTCACAACTCCTTTATCGGACTCACTGATTTTTACCATGCTCCCAATGTTTGTATCAGTGAGTGACGTCTGCGATGCAAGAGGAGCTGAGTTTGTCATTGTAACCATAGTTGGCCCTGTTTCTTCCCGTAAACGTGCAGGCACTTTGCTCATTGTGTGCAATTCGACACCAGTTATCTGAAGCAAAGCCTCCAACGCTTGCTGTTTGGACAGTGCCTCCTGAGGAGTTAGCATCCCCTCAGAAACACAGCGTTTTCGGCCTTTCACAATGTTCTTCGTATAACTTAGTGTGCTTCCACGGTTGAATAGTCCACTCTCCCTCTCTGTTGATTTCCTTTGTAAATTTGAGTGCCTTGGTTTGGGTGATATCTGTTCGACTGATGCTTCAAATTTTGTTGGACTTCTCTGCATGTGACTTTCTGGCTCCTTTACAGATGAAACTGGGGCTTTGTTTGGACTTTCTAATCCCTTTTTAGGGCTACCTTCAATGCCTTTAGCTCTATCATTGTCTGAAACAGTCTGTTTGACCTTGGTGGCCCGCTTAAGGCTTCTCTCTTTGATCATGTCATACTTGTCCTTGAAAATGTCAACATCTGATACATAGCTATCAGAGGCTGCTTCCGATCCCAATTCTGTCACCACATTTTGAGAATCCACTTCTGGAAGTTCAGTTACTGGCTTCTCATTACTGTTTGGATTCAAACAGGAGATTCTGTCACTAGCATTGGCATTTTCACTAACAGGACTCGCTTTTGCTTGAAGAGCCTTCGTGATGCGCTTGTTCCGTACCCTCTTAACTATCTTCACTTTCATGGCATTCTTGTGCCGATGTCGCCTCTTCCCCTTTCCAGCAGATGAAAGGACAGCAGATTGCCTTGAAGACTTGACAGATGAATCTACATTTAAACATGAAGAAAAAATATTGCAAGTTAAAAACATATTCCTAGTTACCAACATACATGTACATGTATACATGTTTGTATTCCATGTTCCAAGTACAGTAGCTGTACTTGTACATGTCTGTTTGCAGTCACATACAGTGTACATGTTTAAGATGAACTTTTGAGAGAAATTCAGGACAGTACACCTCATAGCGGATCAATAATACCCATACAAGTAAAAAAAAAGTACATGAATACTCGTACATGAACCATGGGCAAACTGGAATGCCTAATAAAGAGTTCGAAAATTTTAAAGTGCACTCAAGAACTCCTGATAATTTTCACTCGTTAGCTGTTTAAAATACATGTGTCTGTACCCCCAAACATCTGCTTTTACCAGTACAAATATAAATAGTACCCATACATGTCCAGCTTGTACAGTGTCCATGCACATACTGTACATGGACATGACCACAAAGACCATGTACATGGATATGTACATGTATACAGGTATGGGTTATATGGTTGTACGCGTCTTAAAGACTGCATGAAACCTCAGAAAAGGTTTAGTATTACATGTAAGTCTCAGGTTACAATGTTCTGAGACTATGTACGTACTGATGTATTCATACATTGTATGTACTGTTTGTTAGATCACTTCTCGTGTTAGTGCACCCTCTCTTGCCCGCGAAAACCTGCAGGGCATACATGTATATGATAGGTTGGTGATGCAGCACGTACATGGCGCCAGAAAACTGACCAAAATCTCGACCCAGATCTGCCATATTTGGGCCCCAGTGCCAGAAGAAACTTTCGCGGTCAGGTGTCGCAGCTGGCTGGTGAGCTTACAGTTGTATTTGTTATATTTTCTGTTCTAAATAGAGTAGAGTTTTTGTACATGTAGTTATACGCGTTGAAATTTATAACCTTGCCACATGGAATCTGCCACGTTACACACGACTGTGGGGACGCCATATTTAGACCGCACAGCTTATGCAATCCATTTTGATATTAGTACAGTGTCTATTTAGCTCATATTTAAATACATGTGCATGTACATGTATCACATCTCTGCTTGGAGAAACTCATAGTATTAACCCGTAAAGAGAACCTTGTTAGTGCCAAAACAATTTTGGGCATTCATGGGAGAAATTTAAGCCACAATTCTCACCATTTATAATTTATAGAGAGTTCTCAATTAAAAGTAAGAATTGCAGAAAGTGAACAATATTTCATGTTTTCAGTTTGGCTCGGAAGTCACAGCTTGGATTGTAACATGAGTGAAATATTAATATTTCGGAGTCCATAACTACACTTGGAGCATTTCCTCCTTACTGTGTACAATGCATGTACGAGACAACCTAATCTTTGTTTCAGGTGATAAGTTCATTCCCTTTTTTGACATTTATGTTACCTTGGTAATTTTGTGCTTGCATTAATTAACTTTTAACTATTTGGATACAGTTGCAGACAGCAAAGTCAGCAAAGGGCCCAAATGTCCTAGTTTGAGGCGTAGAGCAGTTACATCACGTGAGCACCCTTATAAATGTTCTTCTCTAATTAATAGTGGTATTTCTCGACAAATTTCCAAATCTGTTGTTGAACTTGCCGTACTTTAATTGTTGGTAAACTTTATTATGGCTGTATAATTGTTTAAGTTTAGATTTCCCGAAACTGTGACAACGCACATAAAACCTTTGCCGATTCGAACCAGTTTGTATTTTTCCCTTATTTATTTTTTTTTTTTGAGTCACCAGAGGATAAACAGGTAGTCACCCACACATGATTGGGACAAATAAACGTTGATGCTCCAATTGATGGTCAAATGTTGCCTGTTTCTGTATCTGTGTGAAGTGGCTTAAACCACTCCCCATAACAGGCCTTTGGAGCAGTTAACACTGTTAGACTTACATACATGTACATGTACTGGTACCTACATGTACTACTAGCCCTAACCCCACATACATGTAATACTACAAATTATTACTTGTAGTAAAATGTAGTAATCAGTGCTGCCGCTTGTAAGAGGACATGACTGTATTGTTCTCTGAAGCCATAAAATACAACAGAAAAGACAATGTACGGTGCCATTGTTCTCTGTCATGTCTGTATGAGTAACAATGGAAGTAACCTAGCCAGAAGAAGTGTAATTTGTAGCACTACATGTAGGTCCTTCAGGCTCAGGCTATTACTTAGTACCGGTATTTTGTAGTACTGAGTACTGTAAGCCAAACAATATGCTTGGCAGTTAGAGCTAGAGTACAGTGTCAAGTAACGGTATGTACATGTATATTTACGGTACCATTACTTGTGTGCTTACAGTACACCCGGTTCATTGTACATTTTTTGTTTTTTCCCCATTGTAAAGAAAAAGTTGCTCATTGCAAATGGATTATCTGAATGACAAAGCAGCATTTAAAGAGCTTATTATACAATGATACACTGCACAGTTTGTACAATGACAGAGCAGTATGAATCATTTCCATTGTCATTAATCCAAACAGAGACAAGTCAGGAAATACCAATACATGTACATGTACCACTGGTCAAAGACAGTAACAAACATGCCGAATCTGCTGTAGAATGTACAAGTACATGTGACTGAACACAGGTTTTTTAGCCTATGTAGTCCACTTACAAATACATGTACAGTACAGTACTGTACATGCACATGTACCGGTACATGTACACACATGTACGTATGTACATGTACCCGTGCATACATGTACATTGTACATACAATGTACATGTACATGTACTAGTACATTTCAGTCCACACATGCTCTATTTCTAGAGCACCTTACCTTACATGTACATGTAAGATCATGTACCTGTATGTGCATGTATACGATACTTGTACGGTACTTGTACATGTACATGTATTTGTACGTAAATGTACCATGTACAATCAGCGAGTATACAGTACTTACACCGTACATGTTACTGAACATGTGCAATAAGTTGTTATACTGGTACATATACAATGTAGTACATGTGTACCACAGTCACAGATACTGCATTTTTATTGGTCGCAAATTGATCACATGATATGCTACAAACCTGCATGTATCATTCACGCGTTGAACGCACTGGCAGTGTTGCCAGGCCACAAAAAGGTATGGTTCCCACAGTTGATGTTTCATGTCTACTGCATTGTAATTGTGTAAACTTGGGTACGAGGGTGGATAACTGCGGTGCAATGTTGTAGTCAAGGCCACAACCTCCGAGGTCGAGGCCAAGACAGAGGCCACCCCCCTCCAAGACCCCGCCATAACCCTGAGGCCAAGGCCACAGCTACATATGTACATGTACCAAGGCTGAGGTCGGGACCTAGCTACTGGTATACATGTATATCCTAAAACAAATCAAATCGATTACTCAAAACCAGGTCAAGATTTTGTTAGATTTATCACTTGCTGAATGGCAGGTTACTGATGAGAGACTTAAAGAAAATGCTTGTTACATCTTAAAAACATTAAGGTCTCTAACATCTCCTGAAAAAGCCGCGACACTCACTCATGGCAAAGTGGCAGACGGGGGACCAGACTATGGTGTGGGTTAGGCTGGTTCTAGAACAACAAGGTGCTACATGTGCAGCGGCGGCTGTGAACGTCACACGGAAGTTACAGAACGTGCGCACATTACATGATTTGGGTTCTCCGAGGAAAAAAAAACACACAAGGAACCCAAGAAAATTATGTTGCCACTTGCAACTTGACATGGATGACGCTGCTTTTGTGTTCATATACCTTAATGAAGGTCAGTAACTGTAAGAATGATAAGAAAAAATCCACATTTTTCGATTGAAAAAACATGTTGAATTGAAGGGAAAATTGGGCAGCCTCAAGCCTTGATTGGTTCGTCGAGGCCGGAGATCTCAGAGTCCCAGTCCAAGGCCGAGGCATCGCCCTTCGAGGCCAAGGCCGAGGCCATAAAAATTGGCCTCGAGGCCGGTCTCGAGGCCAACACCAGCCTTGAGTCAACACTGCTGCGGTGGTACTACACACATGTACACATACACGCCAATTACAGTATTGTAGGAGATGTTCACTGTGAGGGGACATTGAAGCACTGTATCTGTTTGCATACATGTACATATGGTATGTACATGTACATGTGCTACTCTCTTCACTCTGACCATGATAGAGACCTGCAGATACATGTAATTAAACTTCTGTTCATGCATCCAGCTACCGGTATGCTAGTGGAACACGATCACTGTTTCTGCTGCGATTGCCATTGCTGTTTATATAAAATGCTCATGCCATTGTCTTCTCATCTGCTCTACAATACATGTACATGTACCGGTACTTTTTAACAGAATTTGATGTGAATAATGTCTTGAAATTAAACCACTTGACGAAACTCCCAGTGCATTATGAATCCCAGGTTTCTCTATTAAACAAGTTTGTTATAAATCCTAGATTTCTCCCTCCCTCCCACCCCCCCCTCAAAAAATAAGTCAACAAAGGAGATTAAAATCAATAGTTTTCCTCGAACTTTAATAATATCTAATTTACTGTTCAACTGTTTTAATTTATCTTGCAATAAAATATGCACATAGTACACATAAGACTGTTACAGTGTAATCGATGACCATGGTATAACGAAACAACTGTTGCTGTGGCCGGTACATGGGTTTCGCCTGGAGTGCATTTGCCCCCTTGGGTACACAAAACACCATGGACCCTGCACCACAGGCAACAATTGTTAAATGTACATGTACATGCATACATTTGTAACTCGTATCTACATGTACCATGGTACACTGTACAAGTACCGGTAGAAAGGACATTTTGTACACAGTAACATAAAAGGACTCATCAGCGTAAGCTCCAAGGTTCATTTCAGATTTTCTGTTTCAATTTTTCAATTCAATTGACATTTATTCCAATAGTGCATTTATAGGCATTCAAGTTTTATGCATGTTTACAATTAATGAAGGACAAAGAAAATAATACAAACAGCAGTAACTACAGTACATGTAAGATGACATTTGCACTACCGAGGCATAATGAAAAGCCAAGGGCTCGTACTGAAATGCCTTGAAAACAGACGGACAACAGATCACAGGACTAACAAACAGATAAGAAACAAAAAGATGACAACAGAAAAAGACGGATTCAGTTCAGACATGGTTTGGAATTTTTGCCAAACATCTGTTCGGTTAGGGTCCAGACATACATGTATGTGTACTACAATGCACATTGAAATGCCTTGCTAAGAACATGCAATACTACATGTACATGTATACAATAGATTATTCTCTTCACACCCCCATCCATGAGATACATGTAATGAACATGTACCAGTGCATGTACTAATTTTGTACTTTGTCCGAGCAAGTTACGGGTGGACATCCCGTGTACAAACTTCCAACCACTTATCACAGAGCCCCTCCCCCCAAAAAAGGCAAACAAGTTTGGCAGTTCATTTATTACACTGAGTGAATGCACAGAGGAAGTATACAGATGGAGTTGCACTTCAAAATGTTCAAATGATCGTCGCCACAGAGTCAGACCAATAAAGTACTGCCTGCATCTTAGCCCGACAAGCAGGGCCAATACTATCCTAGCAAAAGTCATAGTTTTTGTTTGGAATTGAAAACAAATTATTGCTGTGACCAGGACATAGAGAAAAATCCCTGATATTAGACCTGCTTTTGCCATCATGAATGAACTTTTTGAATTTTGATGCACTGTCTGTTATCCATGATGTAAAATTTGTAACTTTATTCTCCTCCCTCCAATACATCAGTTTTCAAAGACTTGATACGAATTTGGCTAAGACTGGCCAACAAAATGTAGACTACAGTACTGCTGGACATCTACATGTGAGTTCATAAGGAACAAAATGCATTATTTCATCACAGGGATTATGGAATCTCATAAAATACGCTTTTGTACAAATGCCATAATAAAAATGATTCAAACAAAACACAACATCTTTTGAACGACGGAGCAAAGGATGCAGATTACCAGCGAATAATTGCGATGGCAATGGTACAAAGGAGTTTCGTGGTTGTGAAACAGATGGTGTGTAGCAGGCGCTCACTGCGCTCTGGCTACGGAAATACCAGGCATGCTAGAAAGTGGTAATTGGCCAGATGTTACAACCTGCGTAGTTCAAACTCAAGTATCCTTCCTCTATGGTACATGTATGTATGTGTACTGGTACATACATGTACATGTATCAGTACATTTACTTAGATGAATGAGGAATCAAAGTAACTGACTACGGAAACAGACAAGTTCTGTTGATTTGACATGTTTGAGAGTGGACATACTTCTAAGGTCCTACTCAGCCTATCCTACTCAGCCTAAGACATATCTCATGGTATGTCAAACATAGTACATGTAAGCTACTGGTGCAGAATGACGTGTATCGTGAGATACAGTGTACATGTATGTACATGTATGTCTTAGGCTGAGTAGGACCTTACCGGTATGTCCACTCTCAAACAGACAGACTGGTTCTGTTGACTTGCACATAGCCTTGTGG